CTTGATAGGCCGGCCCGTGGAGCTCACAGTGTACAGAAATAGGTTTATCATTTATTTTGCATCTTAAAAGAAAACATTAATCGACTAGAACAACTCTTTTAATGCAGAGTGGCGTTGGAGATTACCATCTTGATATAACACTTCGACGTCAGTAATGCCAAAATGGCGGTTGTTTGAACTTCTGAAGTGTGAGGGACGTTAGTCAGCACCATTTATTGCGAGCTCGTGGTAGCTGGATATTCGAAGAATTTGTAGTTTACATTGGTTCATTTTTTTCAATAAAAACTAAAAACAGCAACAATTTTTATCATTATAACATGAGCGTGATATTTGTATGGTGGAATACTTTGTGTCAGAGATGTGTGGCTTATTTCGATACGTTCTTAAGATTTTAGAAATTATTCCGATCTGGTTAAGAGGCCTTGGCTCTGCTGAATGTTGGACGCGACATCATAATCTCTTATCTCCTGGACAGTCCACTGTAGGAAATTGTGTAAAGTATAAATTTTTGGGGAGTGTGAGACATCCTACAGTTTTCCATCATCGTAACTCCAAAATGCTCTGCTTTGATGATGAGTGTTTTAACACTTATTTAATAGGATAAGATTGTGGACGTCAAAATTCAGAAGCCCTTTGCATGCTATGATTTTCAGCAGAAAGACACTTTCTTGTTATACATTTTCTTTATATCTTACGAATTCAGTTTTCGTACACAACTATTTTACTAACCATAGGCTATAGTCTAACGGATGTTCTTTGTAATAAGTCATCGATATTTTTACTTAGAGAGAGGAACCAAGGTTTTAAAAATATTATGTGTTTGATTTTCGTGCCGAAAAGTTTTAAGACATTGAATTAAATTGGAAAAAGAGTTTTGTTGGTACTTGAATATAATGCATGTCGCAACCCACTTTGGATCGCGTATCACGTATTCAGGGTGACGCTGACGGTGAACAGGGTTCTGGTAACTGAGACATTTTCCCGCAGACAGTGTTAGCGGATCCTTAGACGTGTCATTTCTGTTCTTTACGAGACCAAGGCAAAAGATTGTCCTGTTTACATACTTAGTACGCTTATGTCTTTGACTGCGTACATTTCTCACTCTCAGCTTCAAATTTTAGATGTGTGTTGTTCATTTGAATGGCCGGTTTTGTTTGTCGGCTGTTTCGTGGTGGGGGTGAGTTATCAATGAAATGCTTTATGTACGTATTATAGAGGGAGGAAGTTGAAAGGGGAGGAAGAGGGGGAAGGAGGATGCTGAGTGAGACAAGGGGGATGTTAGAAAGACGGAAGGGAGCTGGAGGAAGTTGGGTGTTGGTAGAATCAAAGGGAAACGCACACATCGTGGGTCTGACTGACTCGAGCGGTGTCTCTTGAAGACTTTGCCCCTCTACGTCACCAGTCTCGTCTAGTGGGGAGTGCGATCTGAAAATCTAGTAACAAAACCAAGTTCTATTTTATGTAGGCTATAGACGATTTATCTGTTTTGTGACTGTCTTCATCAGGATGTCTTTTTTTAAATTATTTTTGTCGACTAATTAGTTTTCTGGTTGAAGAACCCAAAAGATTTGTCCACCTCCCACACACAAGTGGAATATTTCCAAGGGTTTCCTCCATTATAATTCTGTATTCATGTGTCCTCAAACCCAGCTAATCGTATCGTAAAACCACTTGGCGCCTTACAGACCTGACTATAGGCCACATAAGTGAGTTATTCGCTGAAGATTTCTGTCTTCAGGGTTGTTGCGCTGTATAGTCTGGTCGATGTTAACCAACGTTGCAGAGGTCATGCTGCCTCCGTCATCAGGGTGATGAAGATTTCTGTCTTCAGGGTTGTTGCGCTGTATAGTCTGGTCGATGTTAACCAACGTTGCAGAGGTCATGCTGCCTCCGTCATCAGGGTGATGAAGATTTCTGTCTTCAGGGTTGTTGCGCTGTATAGTCTGGTCGATGTTAACCAACGTTGCAGAGGTCATGCTGCCTCCGTCATCAGGGTGATGAAGATTTCTGTCTTCAGGGTTGTTGCGCTGTATAGTCTGGTCGATGTTAACCAACGTTGCAGAGGTCATGCTGCCTCCGTCATCAGGGTGATGAAGATTTCTGTCTTCAGGGTTGTTGCGCTGTATAGTCTGGTCGATGTTAACCAACGTTGCAGAGGTCATGCTGCCTCCGTCATCAGGGTGATGAAGATTTCTGTCTTCAGGGTTGTTGCGCTGTATAGTCTGGTCGATGTTAACCAACGTTGCAGAGGTCATGCTGCCTCCGTCATCAGGGTGATGAAGATTTCTGTCTTCAGGGTTGTTGCGCTGTATAGTCTGGTCGATGTTAACCAACGTTGCAGAGGTCATGCTGCCTCCGTCATCAGGGTGATGAAGATTTCTGTCTTCAGGGTTGTTGCGCTGTATAGTCTGGTCGATGTTAACCAACGTTGCAGAGGTCATGCTGCCTCCGTCATCAGGGTGATGAAGATTTCTGTCTTCAGGGTTGTTGCGCTGTATAGTCTGGTCGATGTTAACCAACGTTGCAGAGGTCATGCTGCCTCCGTCATCAGGGCGATGAATATGACAGAAATCTTTATACTCACCGCTGTGAAAACCTCAAATCTTACGAGTTATTCGCTGTTTAGTGGCAGAGTTTGAAATTGTTTCATTATTCGTGAATCCAGATATTTTCTGAGATAAACTGCGTTTGAAAAAACTTTCTAATCAAGAGTAGATTGATGATGGACGAATTATGTAGCACGCATGGGACTGAGAAGTGCGTACTCATTTTTAGTCAGTAAACGAGAAGCAGTGTATGAGTGTTGGGACTGGATGGAGTAGCATCCGGTGACGGACTTTTGTGAAGGCGGTAACGAACATTACAATTGTACTGTAATTGGCAATTTTTATTTTGTATGACTGAGTGACTGTCAGCCTTTCAAGGGAACCGCTTCAACATGGAGATAGGGATAATATTTTGGTGTGACGTCGCATGTGTACGTCAGTAAGATGCCCGGAGGCTATCTTTATAGTGATGAAGAAAGCTCCAGACCCATTCATCGTCCATCTGGTATTGGTCATGATAGCCTCTGATTGGAAGGTTATCGATGACAGGAAATGCGTTCTGGTTGGAGTGAGTGATTTTAAAAATGCTTCCATATAGATATGCCTCGCGACGACCTTTCGCGAAATTCTTACACACGAAAGAAGCTGTCTGTTGTGATCAGTGAACTCTGGACCGAATTAGTTTCGTTAATATCGAAGATAAACAACAGTGTATTCGGAAGTTACGTCGCGTCCAGTGCTGGCTTGTAATCCCCACGGCAGTAGTATTTATTCTGACGTCATATTAAGAAACTGAACGGATTGTCCTCGTCACACTTTCGAAGTTGTAAAAAATTAAATTTCTGAGACAATAAATAGAATTGTACCAACGAAAATTATCATATTCTATAAATATACAAAAATGCTGAATCAGTTACGAGCATACTACATCAAATTATTCACTGTTAAGACCGTCAAATGACATTATTATTATTCCATATATCTACCACTTTATAGGGTGTTTACTTGTATGTACTCGAGACAAACATTGCCCCTGAGGTACAGAGTGCAGAAGCTATTTCTGAAATACATTTTGTTTTTAATATGTGTTACATGTATTATATAGTTTTATTGTGAGGGATGGCTATTACGACAGCGTCTTTCGAATGATGTATGAAAATCCTAAAATGGCAGTTTTCTGCAGTTCCCTGATTTTATGTTCGCCCGGGATGTTGGCCAAATATTTTCTGAGTGACTTGGAGACAGTTCCAGTTGCTCCTATAATTATTTGGGATTAATTTTGCTTTCATTTTCCATATTCTCTGTATTTTTATTATTAACTTTTGACTGATTCTGCAGCACACTAATGATAGAATTTAATTATTATTACGTCGAGTCGTTTAGCTGATTACTTATCAGCGCTGTATCAACTGCAGTGTTATACAGCGTTTATGTTTCCATAATTTTCCTGTTTGTTAATTACTTTCTTTAACTACGTAGAATACATATTAAATCGTGCATGAAACTGAATAGTAAGATGTTTGTTGTTGATACGTCTGAAAAAAAAAAATATGGTCTGTGTTCGGTACTATCCTAGCTCTCGCCGAGAGGAAAGCCACAAGCAACGACATTCAGGATAATTGGTCTGTGGCTTCAGATTCGAACCCCATGACCTCCTGAATACGAAGTAGGATTGCTGTCAACTTGATATTGGCCTTACATAGGTTTAAATTCTTTTCTTAGGACTTTATGTTTCTCCAATCAGTTTAGCCACCGAAATTCGGTTCCTGTGAATTTCATTGTGCTAACAAAATAATTATATCTCTGCGCTCAGGTGAAGTTACCCTGTTTCTAAGCATCGCACTACGCCAGAATGGCTTTATTTCCAAGCTTAATGAAGCTTTTTCTAATATTTAATGTTTTCGTGGTATTATCCTTTAATTCCTACTGTTTAAAATCTACTTTAACTGTCAGTAGATGGCGTGGTGTGTTTATTTTCGTTTATCTCATTGACCGCAATGAAACCAGATGAAACAGAGCTTTTTAAGAAGCTTCCTCGTACACAGCGTGAGAAGTGTTAACCTCGGCACCAGATAGTAAGAGGTTAGATTCACGTTCTGTGGCGCCATTTTACACGTAGAAAGTTCTGCGACCCGTTGTGATTGTGACGTCTCTGTTGGAATCCAAACCTCGGTCGTAAAAACCCGTAGCCAGTCAGTTTACTTTTACCAAGCTATCAGCGAGTTCGTTCTGTAATTTCAACAGGAAATGAAGACGAGAGTTGATTTAAAGAGTATTGACTGGGGCGTAGTACACAATAGGCAAGCATTTCTTGTGATCTAGCAGTCTCGCCTATTATCCAATCTCTATATGATTGACGGAAATGTCCTCAGTGATTGAACTTGATTGAATATCCGTAGTACACGATGTCTGTAGTGCGCATGCGTGAAGTTGGCAGTGGATCGCGTTTCGTGTAGTTCACTGGGTGCCATGGAGAGACGAGATTACGAGAAGGAGACCATGGCACCGTCAAGGGAGAGGTCTTTACGGGCTCGTTGCTGGGGAGAGAACTATCAGAGGCGTCAGGTAGGATAACCGAGCCCAGGGTTTGATGTGTTGATCTTCCGAATGAACGTCACGCGACTGACAGTAATTAAGTAAAATTAATCTTATATCAGCACAAGTAAAGGAAAAGTTATCCCTGTGTTTAATTAAACACAACGCCACGAAGGCGTAGGAAAGTGGACTTATAGCTCCACCAGTTTCTAACCTTGGCTTTGCATGGATGTGTGTGGTCATATTCGTGCTGATTTCACATATTTACTCCTTGAAATCACAGCAGAGTTGATTTTAACTTGTACTGAACCAAAACGCAGACGTCGAACCAGCCCTTGTGTAAATACACGACGGAAAGACAATATACAGGATTAAGATAACTCTACATAATACAAAATTCAATTTGATGTGCATGTCCGCTTTCGCTCTCCGAGGTCTAAAAGTTGTCAGTAATGTCGCTAGATTGCAGAATGGTAAACTTTGTAAGTGCTTGCACCACTCGGTAGTTTTTAGTACTTCTAATATGTATAACGTAGTCCGTAGCACGGATGATAATTTCCATTCTTGTTCTGAATTTAAACGAATGGGGAAGGAATTTCAGTGTGTCTTATCACAGAAATGGCAAAGTGTCTTAATTTTTTTCCTAATTTTCTTACCAATTTGTCATGGTTTCAGTTTTTTGTGTTTATTTTCAAATGTCGTGATTTTGTGCCTGTCTTAGAATAGGCCACGACAGTTTCTTCTCACATTCTCTCTAATTTCAAGCGTTACTAATCGTATTATTTCGGATTCAACGCTATATCCAAACTAGATTAGTCCAGTCCCTCCCATCGTACTTCTTTTCGGTCTGTTTTAATATTATCTTTCCAACTCGCCTGCGTTACTCTAAGTTACACTTGTAATATTAAGCTTAGAAGCTAAGTTATTCGACTGTTTCTCCCTTGGATAAATGCTGTGCGCAGAGGCAAAACACACTCACACACAGTGAACATTATAAAACGTATTCCCCGAAGCATGAAGATAGATTAGTTCCTTTATCGAAACGTATTCCCCGAAGCATGAAGATAGTATAGTTCTTTTATCACTTTGTAACATTCTTTTTAGTTTTTTCTTTAAAATATGAACAGTTAACCACCACGTTAAAAGTTAAAGAATGTACTAACTCTCTTAAGATCCTTTTGCATTGTTTCGTTTCACGATATTAAAGACAGAATTTTTTTTAATATTTTCGAGTGTAGTAAATACATCGGCAAGTTAAATTATAGTTACATAGTTTCTTTAATTCAGGACTCAAATAATGATACAGCTCATTATTTTCTATGTAGTCTAGGCCAGTGGTATTCAACCTTTTTTTGTTCGCGTACCCCCAGATATAATTTCTCTTCAACTTTGTACCCCCCAAAGTTGTTTTTGTATAATTCAAGTTATATACATAGTATATAATCTACATATAAAATAAATTAAATAAATTACATTACTGATTATTCAGTGTTTATCATAAAATAATATATTTTTTTTTTAAATTTAACGTGCCCCTTAAGATGTCTTCGCGTACCCCCAGATATAATTTCTCTTCAACTTTGTACCCTCAAAGTTGTTGGTGTATAATTCAAATTATACGCAGTATATAATCTACATTTAAAATAAATTAAATAAATTACATTACTGATTATTCAGTGTTTATCATAAAATAATTTTTTTTAAAATTTAACGTACCCCCTAAGATGTCTTCGCGTACCCCCAGGGGTACTCGTACCCCAGGTTGAAAACCACTGTTCTATATAACTGAGACATTAAAAATGTGTTTATTGGAGTGAATCATAGAACTTTTCTTACGAAACGTTGAAGAGAGAACAGACGAGACATTATTTTCTTCAATATGTAAAACAAAGCCATTATCACGTATGGTTTAAAATTATTTGGTAATTAATATACATCGTAAGAAACACGAGAGTGTCATCTTTTTAAAATAAACCTTTAAACAGGCAAAGATATAGACAGTCAACTCCCAGCTATGACCGTATCAAAGAGGCCTTGAAATTTACTTATAAGGTATTTGCTCTGTGAACATTTTATATGTATTTGGCTTAAATCATAAATCCTAAACATCTGTCGTTTTTAGGTACCGTTTCTATTTCTTCATCATCTGTTTCAAATAAGACTTAAAAAAACTGGTCTAATACGTTTCAGTTGTTTGCATCTGTCATTTTGCTCTTCGTGTTGCTTAGTTCAGCAATTGGATCCAGCCATCCATCTATTGACTCGCACAAGTCAGCCATCTTAATTACTGCAATTAGCAAGAAGTTTCTCTTCACCAAGTCTTCCCAACGTTCTCTCCCCCCCTCACCAGTCTACCATCTGGAAGAAGGAGAAGAAGAAATGGATGTTGGTTAACAGACGAAGACGGAAAGGGATAGAGTGAAATACTTAAGTTTTAAAGTCTCTTAGAAATACAGCGGTAGAGCCCTATCACTTGTGTACGTAAGAACAAAACCAGACTTTACCAAATATGCTACAAAGAGATTACAAAATGAAAGGGATGACGTCTGTTTCAAAAGTAGAATACCGTGAAATGTACGTGGGCGTTGAAAGAGGTGACATCTACCGGCAATGAAGTAAACTTTATCAGTTCTCTTGCGATTCTTAACTGAAGTGATTGGTATTTGATTTGTTGTGCTAAGGGATTCAGTTATTATTAAGTGTTCTGTCTTACGACAGGTCCATTGCTCTGCCCAAAAAGAGCTCTCCAGTTGTCCCTATTCTCGGCTTCTCGCTTTAATTCCTGGAACGTCATCTTCTTTCCTTGTTTAAGGTCGTAAGGGGTTCAGTATATAAAAAAAAATAAACACGGAAATTTGGCTATAATTACGCAAACACGGGAGATATTTAGGTAAAATATGATTTCACTTTTCACAGTTAATGATGATCGTTTATGAATGTCGATTACTCATAGAGACAATAAAAAATAATGCTTAGTTTCAAAGAGAATTAGCGTGGGACAGGAAACATTTGATGTCAGAGTTCGGCTGCCATTTTTTCCCACGCGAACGTTAAAAATTTTGAACATAAGAATAAAGTCTGATTCTACATGAGCAATGTTCGTTTTGAAAGTCAAACTGCATTTTTTTACGTTAGGGCTAAAAATATGTTTTGTTCACGCCCACACAGTTTTTAAACTTGCCTAATGTAATAGAAGTTTGTGATTTTACTGTGGTGTGCTTTGAATCTGAAAACCAATATCACATTAATGCAACAGTGACGAAGATAATTATCGGAACTCACAACTGCGTCGCAGTGAACTCGGATCTGCGTGATGTTGCGTGAAGAACACTTTTTGGACGTCAGTTTACTCTAAAGATTGCACTTTCCGATGTTCTTGGATTGAAATTTTGTATGAGTTTCGTATTATTTTGTCTTTACACTGTAACAAAAGTTTAAAGCATGGTAACGCTACACGCCATGTAGGCGCTTGGGGGAGGAGATAGTTTTTGCTTCTACTGATCCTTAACCACCTGAAGGAAAGAGACCGCTGGGGAGACCTAGACGTAGATGGGAGGATAATCTCAGGCGGGATCTATGGGAGATAGGAGTTGAAGGAAACTGGATTTTGTTGGCCCAGGACAGGGTCCGGTGGAGGGCTTTGGTTAATTCGGTGATGAACCTTCGGGTTCGGTAAGCCATAGACTTAGTCAGTCAGTTAGTATACTTTCCAAGTATTGTCTGATTTTCAACAGATAACTAGCAGAACATAGGCAAAATTTATTATTTACCCAACGTTATTAGTAAGCCATCTGGTTGGTTGGGTCCACTATTTGGGAAGCCTGAGGGGAAGAGACCTCTGGGGAGACCTAGACGTAGATGGGAGGATAATCTCAGGCGGGATCTATGGGAGATAGGAGTTGAAGGAAACTGGATATTGTTGGCCCAGGACAGGGTCCGGTGGAGGGCTTTGGTTAATTTGGTGATGAACCTTCGGGTTCGGTAAGCCATCTAGTTAGTTAGTTAGATCTTTAACCTCGGCACTAGTATGACCATAGAAATTTGCGCTGTTAAAACCACTTCATGAGAATCTGTCGTTGTCTGTAATTTTTCTTGTACAGAGGTTTTCGTTTTCTGAATTATTAATTATTAATATTATGTTTTTAATCAGAAATTGATCTATTCTGATACCGCGATGTTCCTAAATTCTGTGGACAGTGACTGCTTGTATTAAAGACGCTCATTCTATAATGTTAGCAGTTCTTAGCTATAACACGTTGTTTTGGTATAGTTTAGAAACTAAGACGAGTAACGTCACTACATTTTTTTTGTGAGAATTACCGTCTCCAAGTAGCAATTTAGCCTCATAGTAACTCCAAGATCAGCGTTTATTATAGTTGACAACATTCTGAGTAGGCCAGAGAGTTTGCATTAATCAGATCGTAATTAAGCACTTCACAAGTAAACCACGTCACGTGGACATCTTGTAGGCCGTAGTTGGATCGTTTTCCCAAACATATTTGCGAGTTGATATTGAACTGAGCATTACTCTACAGTACAATATTATAGTCTGTAGTCACGCTGATTAAACACCAGGGGGTCGCGGGTTCAAATTCCGCTCTGGACATGGCATTTTGCAAGCGTTCTCCTGCCTTGTTCTGTGCAAACAGAGGCCTTACGAGTATATACCTAGTAAGGAGTGGTAGGACTTGTTTTAATAAGGATTACCAGAACCTCAGCCTAGGATATAGGACAGGAGCTGTCTGTTTGGTGGGCCGAATTTTGATTCCCTGAGCCTGTAATCGAATTAGCAGGGACAAAACGGCCGAAGCTTGAAGCCAGCTACCCGTCGCTATCAAGAGCGAGGTTTAGAATCCGTGGAGCTTTACTCCACAGCCTTATTGATGGAATGTCAGCACTTTGAGTTTATTTTGAAGAATATTTTTTTTCAAAGTAGGATCTGAAGTTTTCACGGCGTTGAGTACGAAGATGACTGTCTTCTGCGTGTACTCTGGTTACTCTTCGTCCTGATGATGGAGGCAGCAAGGACC